AGTTCTGACTGACACGAGGACTGACTTGGGCAATACCTCCCCCAACCCTGCCCAAGGAGACATGGGTGGTTTGTGTACATCCACATTCACACTTTTCGACAGCATTTTAATTTAAATACCTTATTTTACAAGCATACGTCCATCGTGACAATGGACAGAGTGTGTGAGGATGGAGACTTTGTGTGTTACAAAGGCCCTGAGGCAGAGTTCTGTGGCTCTTTACACCCAGGGGAAGGAGACGCGTCGGTGACAGCTGTGCCATACAGTAGCAGGAGGGGAAACTGCCCTCACCACAGTGTGAAATCCTTCGTTTCCCCCTACAGGACAGACTCCCTCCAATGGAGAGAAACAATAGCAGTACAGAGGAAAAGGCCAAGTGACCAAGTGACCTGATTCTTTTCTCTTTTTCTCTGAAATGGGCTTCCTTTCCCCCCATGAACTACTATGGGAGCCCTTTTCCTTAAGGGGGTGACGTAGACACAATCTGACAAAGAGTGGGGAGTCCGGGGTGGGGTATGAAGCTCACCACTGGCAATGGTGCGAGATTATTTGAGGGGGAGAACCCAGAAATGAGGTCACACATCTCTCGGAGAGTTTCCAGCCATTCCTAGAGAGGTGTCTGGGTTCTCCCTGGAAGTGGGTGTTCCCAGAGGTGGTGGGAAGAGCAGGTTGCTGACAGGACGTTTTCCGCCACGGCAGTAAAGCCGTCAACCCTAGAACGATGTGAAGATGTTGCTCTAATCGCCTCCTGGGTGTATGCTTGTAGTTGGTGGCTGTTTGAGCCTCTACTAGGGATGTTGTGTTTTATGATAATGTTGTCATCTGCTTTGGGCTACTAAAGAAAAACAGGAGATAAATGTTTCCAAATAAAACAAAAATATAACCAGCTGGCAACTGACTCATGGCATCTGACCAGGCCTCATTCTTGCTTAAAAGTCAGTGGTCTGCCCTTCACCTGTTTCTCTTGCAACCCGCCCAGCCCACCGGGGCCGAGACACCCCAGGCCCTCCGGCTCCTCATCCTTCCGCCAGGCCCTTGAAGCGGGCGGACTCCGCCAGGCCCCATCAGGCTGCTCCGTTCAACCAGTTGGGGCCCTGTCCTAATAAGCGCAACAGTTCTCAGTACAGAATATATATAGTTTGACAAGTGTTCAGATTCAAAAAGAAAATAGCCCAGAAACAAGTGGAAGTAGGAGCCCATTCTGTCATGTTTGCATTGCGTAATGTGTCATGTTACTATTTCTCCTTTCCTCCAATTTTTAAAGACTTCTGTTTGCTTCTCTAAACCTAATCCTATTGCACTGTTTATTGGATGTCCCGTGTTGCTGATCATACGGACTCCTTTGGTGTGAGAGGTCTTGAGTCCCAACAAGAAAGGCAGACTGTACAGAACACAAATAAATGAATACCTGCAGCCAGAAGCATGGCACCCTTGAACACATAAGAACACTTGTCCATCAAAAGGCAGTGATTCCGGACAGCAGGGGAGAGAGAATTAGCAACCAAGAGCAAAAACCTGTTTTCAGACTGTGAAGCCTCATACAGGCATTGTTGAACTTTCACCAGCTTGTGGCAAAAGTGGCATCCGCCAGATCCCATTAGGCAAGAACTTGGAATCAAATTCTCCCGAGTTCACTGGGACAGACTTCCTACAGGCACACTCTGGGGCTGCAGCCCAAGAGTCTGGTGTTACTCCTGGAAAACGCCAATGGTCATACGTTATGCAGTTTACTTCCCTGTGAATGCTGCTTAGAGAACCACTTTGGGCAGGGTACTTTGCTCTTCCTTCCAAATAATCCATTTTCTAAAAAGTGTCAGTCCGCCACAGCAGTGTTATTTGAGAGTTCCCTCCCCCCCATTATCTCTTGTGCAGGAGAGGAATGGTTCTCATTTAATGGCCTGTATATATTGCCGCCAACTGCTTTTACATTTTTATTTTTAATCACATTTTTGGGTCCATTTATTTGTGATGAGAGAGATGGAAACCTATCTGGCTCTTTGATTGCCAGCATTTGTTGTTATTCTGATCCACATGACACTTTCTGTGAACCAGCCTGGAAGAGCCTAATTGTGCATGTGAGTTTTTGCTCAGGGGGCCGAGGGGGCCCAGAGGAGGCAAAGTGCTCAGCTGGATGCACGCGGCCCCACCCCAGAGCCAGAGAGTGAGAAGGACCGTCTGCCGCAGGATCCTGGCCTCCGCACAGTGCCGCCACAGGAGCTCGGCACCTGCCAGCAGGGCAGCTGAGCCAAATTACTCCCTGGCCTCTTTGGGCTGAGGCTTGGGAAGGCTGCCTTGCTGGATCAGCGGGTCCACTAGGCACAACTCTGCATGCCCACCCCAGGCCTACGTTTCCAGCTCCTGGCCGGCAGCCCCTGGCGATACTCCCAAGCCTCACTACCCAGGCCTGAGGGCACCACAAGGCGAGGGGACCTGCAGGACAGGAGCGGCAGGTCCCCCCCTCCCCACCTACAACTGAGCTTCTCACGATCTGTCCAAGAATCACCTGGAAGCGATCTAGAATTGATTTTCTGGCACAATCAGACTGTACAGGGGTCTTGCTCAAGTTATCCCTGTGACCTCTTCTCAACTGTCAGCCCCCCCTTTCTTTCTCAAGCAGGGGGAGGGGGAGAAGGCATGAAAGGATCTCCGGGAAAGTCCAGAGAATCACAGAGAGTTGGAAGGGACCTCCAGGGTCATCTAATCCAACCCCCTGCACAAGGCAGGAAATCCAACAAATATCTCCCCCTCCACACCCCAGCGGTGACCCCTGCTCCATGCTTCCTGACCCCAATGTGGCAATCAGCATTTCCCTGGGCGTGTAAGAAAGGGCCACAAGAACTAAGCACTAAGTTCTCTGCTACATCTGCCTCTCATCCAGAGGGTGGTGCACCAGCAGCTTCTCCCACAGCCCCTGCAAAACACCATGGCTGGAACGGAGAGTCAAAGTAGGGGGAGGCCTTGCACTCCCCCCCCCCCGCCCGGGTCCTATGGGACAGCCGTGGGAGTGGCAGGGAGGTTTCCCTGCTCAAGAGCTGAGAGTTCTGACCTCTCCCCGGGAACTTCTCCACTGTGTTGGAGAGACTGGAGACTGAACCACAGCCCCAATCCGGGGGAAAGTGTCGGAGCCCCCCCCCCCCGGCAGTGTGCAGAGCATGAGGCGTATGTTGAGCCCCCACGGATCAGGATTCATATATTTATTACAATGCTGTGGCCTACGGCAAGGGTGCTGGTCAGCAAACCAAAGGGAAGCCTCCCCCCCTCCCCCTGCTCTGCCACGTCTCAGGGGCTCCCCCTTGGCTCTCCTCTGGCACACCCAGAGGCCGTCTGACGCAGGCGGCCGGCTGATCCCAGGCAGGGTTTCCTCGAGGTTTGGGGACAGGAGTGGCCTCCGTGGTGATGGGATGGCACTCCAAGATCTCGATTTCTCATAGACTCCATGGCACACCCCCAGCAACTGCCCTCCGGAGTGGCTGTTTCTTCCAGGGGAATTTACCTCTGTGGTCTGGAGGCAAGGCGTGATTCCAGAACTCCAGGCCCCACCAGGAGGCTTGCAACCGCAATCTTGAATCCCACCTACTGCTCTGTTTGAGCACTAGGACAAAGTTTGAGTCCACTGGTACCTTTAAGATCAACAAAGGCCAATACCACTCATCGGGAGAAGGTTTGGCATCTTTCCCCATAATATTCCCAGAAGCATGTTCTAAAGATATGTTCACCTAGGAGTTTTACTGTAGCCTTTCCTGTCAGTTTTTTACCCCACTTTCTCCAATGACTCCAGGGGACTTGTAATACTCAAGAGTTCTTTGGCACACAGCTCAAAATGCAGGAGAGCAGATCTGGGGGAATGGAAGTGCCACAGAGATTGGGATCGGAGGAGGCCAGCACCCGTGGCTCAAAATCTGTGTCCACCCTGGTTGCGGGAAGTATGTGAGGATGACATTAAGGAGCCCTAGATGGCCATCATAAACTGACTCAAAGTGGTTATCCATTACTTAAAAAAAATCAGTACAGAAAAAAGATGTGGCCAATTATTGCCCAGTCTCTAATCTGCTCTTTCTGGTCAAAGTGATGGAGAAAGCAGTTGCAGAACAACTTCAGGTTTTCCTCATCTTCTCTGGTGGCACCAGTTGATTATCTCCATCTGCATGAATTTATTTATTTAGAACATTAAGAACATAGCCAAGGTTTCACACCTCTTTTCAGGATTTATCAGCAGTCCTTGACATTGTCAACCACGCCACCTGGTTGAGGCATTTGGAGAGAGAAGCTGGTAGCAAGGGATGTGCTTTGGATGGTGGCCAGCACCATGAATTGGACTTGGAAATGAACTAGTAGCCAATGGAGATGTTTGAAATAGGTGAGCTGTGTTCCTGTTGGCTAGCCCCTGGCAACAGAGGGAAAGGTGACACCAATTATGGATGGGACCTCTTCTCACCACTGTGGCAATGAGCAAAGAGGCTGTACTGCCTACCACCCAATAACCTGGGCATTTGGGGGCACCCCCCCCGGTGCAATACTTTGATCAAGTTCTGAATATAACATGCATACGGTTGTAATAACACAGACAAGCAACTTTTTTAACCCATAGAAACTTTATGAGCATTATGTCTAACTGGACAAAATACATTAGAAAACACCTTCAGTGCCTTGAAAATCACAGAAGAACAAGCTGACTTGCTGGACAGCTTCGGGCTGCGGAGCTTCTGACGAATGCAGGCATGCAGGAAGACTTCCCACGGGGAGGCTGGTGGCCCTCACAAGAGGAGGGCATCACGAGGTTGCACATGCGCCACTTTCTGGTGCTGACTGCATTCACATTTCTCCCCAACATGCTGACCAGTAGTATTTGTGTCCCCCCCCTTCCTCGCATTCAGTGACTCCTTGAGCCATAGCTTGAGTACAATAAAAGAACATGATCCCCGTCTCCAACTTTCCTGCTTGGTCACAACGACTTCAGTAAGTCGCTGCCCTGAGCACAGTGAACAAAATGGAATGGGCTGCAGTCTCTTATTGGGCAGCAACTCCTCTCAGCCCAAGTGTGCAGAAGCACTGATATCACGCAAAGGCAAATGGCAAGCATATGTCTCATCCCCCCCCCCCCAGTGTGCGCCACTGTCTAGGCGAGGGCACACAAGCGCACAGGACACCAGGTTCAAAGTGCAGAGACTGGAACAGCAAGGAGAAAATTATTTATGTCACCAAGGCATGCGGCACAGAGAGGTGGCAGAGAAGGGACGCAGAAGACCAGGATCTCTGCTGGCACAGTGTTGCCTTCCTTGCACGCTATTAGGCATGGAGACTTTTTCTGTTTTGGTCCCAGGAAACCGCACATGTTGCAGTGTGAGCCCACATCATCTAAGCACTGGAATCCAAAGGAGAGCTTTACGCATGCTGCAGAGAAGCAGAACGTGGCAGTCCACAAGGAAGCGATGGCAACAGTGATTCTTGGCAAGGAGCTGCCACGGACTCTGCTGAAGCCACTCCATCCCCCACCCCACCCCAGTCCAGGGAAAACATCCACGGCAGAGTTTATTGTGCCCGCAGGACCGCAAAAGGGCTCCCCGTGGCCCCCAGAGAGTCTCTCGCCTGCCCTGGCTGGCAGTCCTGCCCAGTCTCTGGCCCAATGCGGGTTGGACAGCTCCGAGGGTAGAGAGCCGCCTCGGGAGGCACGGAATGAGGCCCTGCGCAAGAGCCAGAGGAAGTCATGGGGAGGCGCTTTGGACTTCACGGGAAGCGCCGTCTAAGGGATGCGCAAACGACTCTTTTGGTAAGATCCCGCGGCTGTTCTTACTGCCGAGGAGAAATCTGTGTCCTTAAAAGTCTTCCAATTCCCACAAGGTATTTACAAAAGGAATCACTAAGCTCGGCTCCCACAGACTATTTGCTTGCTGAATGAGGCAGAGCACCAAGGATGAGTGGGCCGAGGCAACCATCTGGGCAGGGAATTTTTCCGCATTTCTTCCAACAGCACAGGCAGGTCTTGTTGCAGCGGACTGAGAACACACACACACACACACACACGCCACTTCTGTTTGTTTAAGCAGCGCCTCAAACCTTCCTCATAGTCCAGCTTTATCACCAGCAGGAAATGTTCCAAGGCAGAGTCTGGGTGGAGGCCCACCACAATCCTCTGATGGCCCCTAAGGAAAAGGCTGCAAAAGGGGCTGCGTTTATTGGCTCCAAACCCATCCACTGCCCACTAGCCACTAGCGATGCCACGTCCAGTCAGCCTTCAGATGGCAGACGGAAAAACAAGATATGTTCTGTGGCCACCGGCAACGGTCAGAGCTCAGAGGCAGGGGAGCAAGGGGAGGAGGAACCAGGGGTTGGGCTCTTAAATTAAGGGCACGGGGGAGATCTGGTCTTCCGTGGCAATGTATCCTTCTCTTCAGATGATGCGGACAATTCACGATGGTACGTCACAATCCTGCAAAAAGCTGATCTGGACAGCACAGCACACATGCTGGGAAGGAAGAGAGCGGATGCTGGCTCTTGTGGGCCGTCTCTCTGGAACCAGCCAGGGTCAGCCCTGGAAAAAGAACAAAGGCCAGGTCGATTACTGCTGAGCTGAACCTCTGGAACGGCCATGCTGGGACTGTCCCATTCAGCTTGCAAGCAGGGGAATGTCACACTGGAATTCCCACCCCAAATGCCAGCAGCCGTCGGGTCCTCACAGAGGCAGCGCCTGCTTCTTCGCCATGCAACAAATACCTTTGTAGCCTCTCAGCTTTCGTCACTTGGGAGCCTGCCTTGAGGCGATGAGGAACTGCAAAGAGAAAAAGGAGGGGGGAAAACCATGCCAGAAATCCCCCTGCAGCCCCCTCCTGGAAGCTGGGCAAGCCCCGGATGGCAACTGCACTGCCAGGATGTGGCACTCAAGGAAACCAGGAGGGTGAAGCCGTGCCGTCGTGCCCCCCAACCCTCCGGGCAATGCGATGCCACAGCTCAGCGGAGCCGGAGGCATGAGGGCAGCAGCAGGTGCAAGATCTGCTCAGCAAAGCAGATCCCAGAAAGGTCTTAAGATCCTGCAGGTTGCAAAAGAGGGCTCCAGCTCTGGCGCTCACGGCCGGATGTCTTGAGGCCACGTGCTTGCCTCCCTGCCACTGGCACCAGTTAGCCACCACCAGGCAGCTTGCCAGCATCCCCCATCCCCCCCCGGCCTCCCCACCAGGCAGTGGGACACCCTCCCCACCCGAGGGTGCCCCATGCCCTCAACATGCAGGGAGGAAGAATGGCAGCCACCCTCTCCTACCTTCCTGTCCTGAAGGAGGCCGTCTCAAAGAACTTTGTTCTGGAAGCCACTCTGTAAAAGCAACCCGCACAGGCACTGGTCAGAGATGGAGGGGCTTCCAATACAGGTGGCAGAATTCTAATGCCAAGGGACAGACAGACACAAATAGGTTCCCTCCCCGCTCAGAACAATCTGATGGAAGCTTCACTGCAAGTCCAAGAGGAGGCTTCTACAGCAGCACATCTTGGCAAAGAACTTTTAACTCCCACAGTTCCACTTTTCAGCTCTTTAAACCTCTGCTCAGTGACACCTGGCTTCAAACTCTGATTCCAGGTGAATAATACCACGAACCCAGCCACCAGGATACCTTGCAGTCTCCTTTCCATCTGGTGCCCTGCCCTCCCCTCTAACCGTGGGCCAAGCTGACTTTCCGAGGACTGCACCACGGCAGAATGCAGGTCTGGAGCGGCATGACCATGGGCTTCAAACTCCCCTGCCTGGGGAAAGCGAGCACTTTATTTTGCATAACTGATATCCTGCATTCCTGGCCTCAGAAGGGCCAATCAAGGCAGCTAACAAGTTAAAACATTCATAATGAAATTGCATTTTAAAACCAATCAAAAAGAACAGCAGCACATTGTGAAACCAGTTAAAGTCAGAATTAGAACACATGCAAAGATATAGAAACAACAGTGGAAACACCCCATAGGATGGATGGAACACAGAGGGGACGTCAAGCGAAACCGAAAGGCCTTCACCCACTGGCGGGAGAGGGCAACAGAAGGGGACAAGTGAGTCTCCTTGGAGAGGGAGTCCCAGAGGTCTGGGGCCATAACCAAGAAGGTCCACCCACCTGCCCCCAATCTCAGGAGGCAACTACAAAGACGACTCTGTAATCTCCTACAGTGAGCTGGGGAAGCGGAGTAGGAGGCGAAGGAGGGTCCAAACATGCAGTCCCAGACTTGCATCCTGCAGTGCCAGAATCCCAGGAGGCCCTGATGAATGTGCCGGGCCCCCAGGCAGACGCATATTGGGGGGGGGGGGAGAGGTTCTACCAGAGTCTTATCTGATGAAGCTGTTGCGGGTGGTACTCTTCTCACACTGTAAGCTGCCTGAAGTCCACATTTAGTGGAGAAAAGTGAGATAAAAGTCCCAAAATAAATAAAAGTGTGAAAGATTTATTAATAGCAAGGATCTAGGCCTCCTAGCTGCAAAAATATGACTTTAAAAGGGGACCAGTAGTGCTAAGAATCATTTTTGGCCTCTGATTATTATGCAAAATAACTACTATTGTGTTCAGTTGCTTGATGCAAATTATTTACATAGTTCTTCTTGAATTTAGATTACTTGAGTATAGATTTCAGGTTTCTTTCTTTCTTTGGCATGCTGCTCTGAATATAAATGAGCAGGATGAGTCCCCCTCCAATCTCCCCACACAACAGCTTTACAGACACCCTGCAGGACTGCACTGAAAGTCCTCTGCAGCTGTTTTGTCTCCCGATGGGCCTGTGCAGAGCAGCAAGGTGGGAAGTGGGGGCCGGCCGTGCCACGCAGCATGAAGAAGCGTGGCTTGCCCGCAGAGACTCATGCTTTGCTTCGCCGCTCCTGGCCAGTGCTGCAGCATGGCTGCCGCTCTGAGACCAGGAGGGAAAATGCCAGGGTGCAAGCTGGCAGCCGCCGCCCGTGCTACTTGACCTCTTTTGAGGACTGGCCAGTGAGAGGATGACACACAATCCAGACACTTCAGCTCCGTGGCCAAGTGACGGCAGCCCCTGGCTGCAGCGAGTCAGTTCTGGGCTGCTAACACCCCCCCCCCCCCCGCTTTTTGAGTGCCGGGCAGGTGCCAGGCAGGGATTCCCTCCTTTCCAGCTGCCACTTGCAGAAGGGACTTTCCCCCTCGGGAGTGAGTGACAGGAGCCAAAAGTGCAGCGTAATGCAGGCGCCTAAGTTCACTCGGGACCAGCCCGAACAGCTCCAGCCCTTGGGGTGACGTGTGTTGTGGTGGGAGGGCCGGATTCACCTTCAGAAGCCTCGCAGAGGACAAGCGGGGGAAGGACGCAGGAGCAGACACTCGAGAGGCTTCCTAGAAAGTGCTGGCTCTTTTGCGTTCAACGGTGTTCTTCCCCCTTTTTGTACGCCTGATGGAGGTCGCCATTTCTAGGCTGGGAAATTCCTGCAGCTTGGGGGTCTGCATCTGGGCAGAGCAGGGCTGAAGAACGGGAGGAGCCTCAGTGTGGCCCACCTTCCAAAGGAGGCGCGTGTTCTCCAGGGGAGCTGATCTCTGTCACCTGGCGATCACCTGTCCTTCCAGGCGCTCTCCAGGCCCCACCTGGAGGCCGGGAGCTCTACCCGCGATCCCTGCTGAGCCCCTGCAGCTTCATCCAGACCCCCAGCCTGGAAGCAGAGCCTGCCACATCGTTTGTCCGCCTTGACACAGGCCTGGTTTGCGCAAGCAGGAGAATGAGCCGAAGCCCGGGAAGGCACTGCTGGAGACGGCGGGGAAGATTCCAGCTCTGAACGCCCCCTGGCAGGGAAACTGGATGTGAACCAGAAACCAGCACAGCACAGAGGAAGGGAGTTTTTAAGGGAGGGAAGCATTCCCAAACGTGATCCTTCTTGACCTTCTACCTACAGTCCGGTGCAGCCCCCCCGCCTCCCCCCCCCCTGCCCTTGTGCGGACCGGGCCGGACTCTGGCTGGGTACTCACACCGAGGGGAGCACTTCTCCTGGCCCTCCTCCGCTCGACACCTCTGCCTTCGGCTCCAGCTTCTGAAGGGGAGGCGCTTTGCAGGGAGGGTCTGGGGGTCTCACTGGAGGACGCGTGATGGTCGGTTTCTCTCCAGGAGACCGCACTCTGGCAAAGCCTTCGTAATCCCCTAACGCTGAAAAACAAGACACAGTTCAGTGACTGTTACAAGGCATGTGAGGGGGTGGGGTCGTCGAGGGCAGGGGAAGAAGGAGAGCCTTCCTTGCTTTCCGTGCCGCAGGAGGCGCAAAGAGGCCAAAGTGCTCTGAAAAAACGGCCTTTGGGGAGCAGCAGAGCAGCTGGCCCTTGTGTCAAGGAAAACCTCAGGGGGCTCCTTCTTTTCCTAAAGGAGGAATGACAAGTTCTTGTATTCCACAGGTCTGATGTACTGACTGCACAGGGGTCTGGCAGACAGACGGGAGTTTTGCTGCCCAAACAGAGCCCCCCACCTCCCTCAGGGGGTCTGCCCCCAGAACAGAGTTTGTGTTATTTATTAGGAAGGGTATCATTATTATCAAACACATGCTCACAACTAACATACAGAACTGGAAAGTTGCCCGGGGGGTGGGGGGGGGAGAGACTATTCAGATGTAAACTCTCTCGCACCCGCACAGACTGCCCAAACTGGCTCTCCCCATGTGAGTGAAACTCTGCGTAAGCTCCCCAGCACATCCCGGCTGCAACTTGATGGGGCCATCAAGGGCCACACCAAGTCATTTGTCAGTCCAGTGGTGTTTGCAGGGGACCAGATGGCCACCCCCGCCTTATCACAGATAAAAAGCAGGGATGCACTTACCTGTAACTGCTATTTACCAACATCTTCTGTGCAGACACACACTGGGACTGCGTGTGTGCAGGCTGGCTGCAGACATTTTATTTTCTAGCTTTAAGCTCCAAGAATGGGGGCTCTGCCCCCTCAGAACGGCATGAGTGCAGGTTTTCCTGCCTAATGCATCACGTGTCCCGGGGGTGAACACCCCCATTCCCTCAGTTCTTGTCCCAGTGCTGCAAGCCTCAACCCTCCCCCCCCAAAAAAAACACATTAAGCAGACAAGAGACTCACAGTGGGGAAAGAGGGAGGGAATGTGTGCCTGCACAGAAGACCTCAAGAACAACAATTACAGGTGAGTGCAAACCCGTTTTCATCTTCCATCTACTGTGCAGCCCCACATGGGGACCTTCACAAGCTTCTCATCTGAGGAGGTGGGGTGAGTCCCTCATTGAAACAGTGGCTGTGCTTCAGCTTTGCTGACCTCAGCTTCTCTCCTTGTTTGCAGGTCCAGCATGTAACGTTTGACAAGAGCGTCTTCAGACGACCACGTGGCTGCACAACAACTATCTCAGATCAGAATCCTACTGTGAGATGCTGCAGAAGAGGCCTGTGCCTGAGTGGAATGGGCTCTGATATCCAAGGGACACGGTTCCCCACATGCCCTGTAACAGCATCAGACAGTGGACACCACCCATCTGGCAATGGAGTGTGACGAGGCAGGCCTGGCTTACCCTTCTTAGAACCACATTAACAAATAAAGATTTGTGCTTGCAAAAGATGCCTGTCCTATTCAGATAATACAATAAAGCCCTTTTCACATCCAAGGAGTGCAAGGTCTTTTCTGCCCAGGGAGAGGGAAAGAATACCGGGAGAACAAAATCTTGAGCCAAATGAAATTTGGAAACAATGTAGGGAAGGAACTCCAAACAAGGATGCCTGTCCCTCAAAAAACTTTGAAAGCAGTGGATGATGAGGAGAGCTGCTAGTTCTCTGACCCCCCCCCTCCCCTGGAGAGATGATAGCCACCAGAAACGCCTCCTTCCAAGACAAGTGAGCTAGTGAACAGTGGGCTGGGGCACAAATGGAGGGTTCATCAAAGCGGCCAGTACCAACAGGCGTGGCCATTGCGGAACAATGTGTGGGATGGGGGAAAGACATTAGCCAACCCCCTCAAAAATATCTGAGATAATTTGTGGGGGGAAACTGAACTCCCTTGTATGTCCTTGTGGTACTCAGCAATGGCCACCAGGTCTGTCTTGACTGATGACACTGTGAGGCGCGAACAAACAAAGGAGAGTAAATATTCTAATATTAAGAGTAAAGGGCAGGTAAATGGACAACCCTCACGGTCCATAGTCCAGTGCTTGAACTGGACCCACTTCCTGTGGTATGAGTACCTGGTGGATGCTTTTTCAGGAATGGATAAAAACATCTAGGACCCCTTGCAAAAAAGAATGGGTTAAGGTTGGATTTTCCAGGCTACTAAGTGGCGTCTGGACACCTCATGGTGCCAGAGAGGCCCTTGGAAGAGGAGGTCTGGAACGGAGGGGAAAAGCATGTGGTGTCTCCTCGCCAGGTGCAGAAGGTGTGGGAACCACGCTTGCCTGGGCCAGAAGGGGGCCACCAGGATTGCCTCTGTCTGATCCAAAAACATTTTCTATACATCCTTGGGTATCAGCGGGAAGGGGTGGGGGAGGTGTAGAACAGAACCCCTGTTCAGTGAATCTGGAAGGTGTCCCCCAGGGATTGTGGATTGGACCCTGCCATTGAGCAAAATAGAGGAGCTTTTGTCGGTTACCGCAAAAAGGTCTACTTGGGGGGGGGGTAACCCCATGTCTCAAAGACTGGGGCTATGTACTCGGGACGGATGGACCACTTGTAATCCATTGTGTGCATTCCACTGAACACATCCACCTCCGTGTTGAGGGACCCTGCTATATGAATAGCTCTTAGGGACAACCCCAATCTGATAGCCACTTCCCAGGTTGCGGTGGCCTTCCTGCACAGGGCAAGGGAACCAGTACACTCTTGTTTGTTTAGATAAAACATGGTGGCTATATTTTCCATCTGGAGGAGGACATTCTTCCCTTGGAGGATATATGTGAAGGAGCCAAGGGCAAACTTAACAGCTTGCATTTTGAGTACATCAGTGTTCCCTCTAAGCTGAGTCAGTGTGAGCTAGCTCACAGACTTTTAGCCTCCAGCTCACACCTTTTTCTCTTCGCTCAGGAAGGATGGCTCCAGAGCAAACTAATCTGTGCAGTAGCCATGTTGCTCGCTCACAACTTTAATGCCAGTAGCTCACAAAGTAGGATTTTTGCTGACAAGGCTCCGCAACTTGGAGCATTGCTTGATGTGTATGTGAACAAGGGCCCTTGGCAGAGAGCCCTAACCCCCAATAACCATCAGAGGCATCAGTCATCAATGTTACAAGGGGGGACCAGAACCCAAAATCAGCCCTTGATCAGGGGCTAGCGTCAGCCAACTACCAATGTAAGGACCTCAGAACAGACCTTGGAATGAAGAGACAAAGCCACTGGAGATGGGCCGCCAGGTTGTACTGCCTAACGAACCACAATTGTAGGGTCCTCATGTGTCATCTGATATGTGGGACTACAGCTGTGGTGGAAGTCATGAGCTCCAATAATTTCTGAATGGCTCGAACTGCCTGCCAACACTTTCCAAGGAAGGCACAAATCAGTGATTTCAGACTTTCAGCCCTGTCCAAAGGTAGGAAGGCTTTGCCCAACGTGGTGTCTAGGGTCGCCCCAACAAACTGGATCTTCTGGGAAGGGATCAGGTGGGACTTTTGCATATTGACCACCAGGACGAGGCTCTGACAGATGGATAGGACTAGGTGGACCTGGGCACCCACAGATTCACTGTCTCGGGCCACTAACAACCAGTCATCCAGGTATGGGAAAATGACACAACCTTATATACATAAATGGGCATCTACCACTGCCATGCCTTTAGTGAAGACTCTTGGTGCAGTAGCTAGACCAAATTGTAGGGCTGTAAACTGGAAGACTTGGGTACCATATCTGAAATTGAGGAACTTCCTACTGGAGTGGTTAATTGAGATATGGAAGTATGTGTCCTTGAGATTGAGGTTTGCGAACCAAGCACCCATGGAAAGGAGATCAATACCCAACGGAAGAGAGACCATTCTGAATTTAGGAATTCTCAAAAACTTGTTTAATAACCATAAATCTAAAAGTGGTCTGTGACCTCCATCCTTTTTGTACCCAAGGGAAAAAGGGAATGAAAACCTCTAGAACAGAGTCTTTCTGGGACCTTCTCAACTGCCCCCTTCTCTAAAAAGGAGTCCAACTGTGCCCTGATCTCAGGGGATGGATTATCAACCGTAGTGGAAGCTAATGAACAGTAGGGAACTGAATGAAACTCTAGCCAGTAACTGTATGAAACAATGGAAAGGACCCAGGCTTCGCAAAAGAGGGACAGCCTGTCCTTAAAGCTAGTTGAAACCTGGGTGGATAGCCAGAACTTAGACTGTTGTTGTCCTTGGTCCTTCTGGGCAACCGGCTGCATGACCCTTTGTTTGTAGGGTGTCCTATGCCTTTGGTAGGGGTCTGACTGAAATTAGCATTGAGGATACTCGTACTGTTGGTGGGGCATGGGCCTTTGACTCCCATAAAAAGCAATGGTGAAGACTTGCTTGAAGGAGTCTGGAGAAAAGCTGACGCCATCAAACCAGGCCGAGGAAAAATGCCGTCTGGATCACGTCTCATCTTCAACTGAACGAAACCCCCGTTGGCAGCGAATGTGTGTGAATTAAGATGTATATATGTTGTCCTCCCCTACCCCACAAATCATTGTTAGTCCTTTGTAATATTGAGTAACTGTAAATCGCTCAGAGCCAGCAAGCTCTGCAGGATTAAGCGATCAATAAATTGAATTATTACTACTACTACTACTACTACTACTACTACTACTACTACTACTACTGATGTTGGACTCACAGATTTTGAGTCAGAACCGAAGGGTAGATGGCCAACAATTTTGTGGTTTGTCTGCTCTTCTTTATAATGGACAGGAACTCATTGGTAGATTGGGCATATAGTGTTTTCTTCAAAAAGGGAAGGTCCTCGAGCCTCGCCTGAGTATCGATCAGCAAGGTGGTGTTGCAAAGTCATGAGTGGCATCTCAGGACGACGGATGAGGCCATAGTTCTCACAGAGATATCAGCTGCATGCTTACCCATGTTTATCTCCTGCTTGGAGAGCTTAAACTGCTTGGATCAGTTTAGCTTTTTAGATCATCAGTTAGCTGATGATAGGTTCTTTCACAAAATAGCTGAAAGCCACCCATTATGGTCTGGTAGTTTGCAATTCTAAAGTTTA